ATATTGAGATTTCTTGTGTACTCTCTGTAGAGCTTATGTGTAATGACCCGACCGGTCGTTTTGAGCATTTGAACTTTGATCGATAGTTTGGGAGCGCGAGTAGCTCCGTATGATGTATTATGACTTGTGTGAATTGTCGGTTTTAGTTTTCAGGTTATTCGAAATTGATTTGGAAGAATGAATCTCCTTGTTGAAGCTTTAAGTTGGAAGAGTTGACCAAGTTTGACTTTTGTGAATTTGACCCCGAAACGGAGTTTTGATGGTTTCGTTAGGTCCGAATGGTGATTTGGATTCGGATGTATGCCCGGATTTGCATTTGGATGTTTCTAGAAGGTTTCAGAACTAATTGGCGAAAGTTGGAAATTTGAAGGTTTGGAAAGTTTATAAGTTTGATCGAGAGTTGAGTTTGATGATATTAGATTCAGATTGTGGTTCCGGAAATTGGAACAACTTTGTTATGCCATTTGGGACTTGTGTGCAAAATTTGAGTTCATTCCGAGTTGATTGATTTGTTCAGCGCAAATTTTGGAAGTTGAAAGTTCATTTAAGTTTGATTTGAGGTGTGATTCATCGTTTTGATGTTGTTATGTGTGATTTGAGGTTTCGAGTAAGTTCTTAGTGTGTTTTAGGACTTATTGGTATGCTTGGATAGGGTTCCGGTGACACCGTGTGTGTTTCGGGTGAGTTTTGAACAAGTTTGGGCATTTCAGCACTTTGATAATGTTCTGGAGCGAGTAAAGTGCGGAGGGCACATTTTGGAGTGCTGAGGCAAAGCCTCATGTGCAAACCACAGAGGAAATATGCAGACTGCAGAAATCCTATTACGGCCGCAGAAAGGAGAATCTGCAGGTTGATGGTCTGACTTCAGAAGTTTATATATTTTAATCTACAAAGAATTTGGAGATGATCCAAAAATAAAAGTTGTAGTCCTTTGAGTCTAGTTTTCAGAAAGTTAAACCATTTAGCATTTGGAAATTCTTACATAAAGTTATGGTGGTGCACTCACTGCTGAAGTGCGACCGCCCAATTTGGATTTCGGCCGCGGAACCTGGAATGTGCGGTCAGCACAATGGGAGGTCAGATTTTCTGCTATATAAACGAGGGTTAGAGTATTATTTCACACTTGCACTTTGGGAGCTCGGTTTATGGTGATGTTTCGTGGGGTTTTCAAGAAATTCATCGGCGTAAGTGATTCCAATTCGGATTTGGTTAATATACATGAATATATCATTGTTTTCATCATTTAAATAATATTTTGAGATGAAAATTTGGGAAAAATTATAGAAACTTCATAAACTATAATTTGAGGATTTAAAGGTCGAGTTGTGATCGGATTTGACTAATTTTGGTATGGTTGGACTCGTGGTTGAATGAGTGTTCGGATTTTGTGACTTTTACCAAATTTCGAGACGTGGGCCCGAGGGTTGACTTTTGAGTTGACTTTTGACTTTTGATAAAAGACTTAGTATTTTCGAATGGAATTGATTCCTTTAACTCGTGTTGATTGTATCGAATTGTTTGTGGCTAGATTCGAGGCATTCGGAGGCTGTTTCGCGAGGCAATGGCGTGTTGGAGTAGAGATTTGCACGGTTTGAGGTAAGTACAACTTCTAAACTTGGTGCTGAGGGTATGAAACCCCGAATTACATGTTATGTGATTCATGTTGAGGTGACACACATGCTAGGTGAGGGACGTGTGGGCGTGCACCGTGTGAATTATGATTTAGTCGATTCCATGGAACTGTGTAGCCATCTTATCTAAACATTTTTACTGTACACTATGTGTTAGAGAACTTGAGCTGTAATTTATGCTAGAAATCATATTTAGGCTATATGCTAGCACTATTGGGACCCACAATGGTCATTCTTTGCTGTTGAGTTATTTGCTTAATTGTCGTTATGTACTCAGTCGCATTCATCATTTCATATCATATCTCAATCTCTATTATTGTATATTGTCACATCTCGTATCATTGATTATGGCTGCTTAGTATGAGCGTTGTGAGCCCGTAAGACTAGAAAGATTAGTGACTGAGTTGGGGCCTGAGTGCCGTGCTATGATATACATATANTATGTAGATCGGACTGCACGCTGCAACAGGTATTGTACAGTGTTGAGTGACTGAGTGTGCTGAGTATTGAGCATGGTGAGAGGGAATACGAGACAGTGAGATTGAGTACTCTGTGAGTGTGAGTACATGGGTTCATCACTGAGATGCATTGCATTTGACGTGCGTACTTGAGATACATGCATAGAGATGCATTTTCTTCTGCTACCCGATTTTGGTGACATTCATGATTTTACCTGTATATTGACATGTAGGCATAGAGATATACTTTCCTCATGCTATCTGAAAATGGAACATCTTATTTATTGTTGAAAGGTTTTTGGACAACTCACAGTTTTCAAACTTACTCATATGCTTTGGGGGTTTTCGGTGAAAGATCTGGGATTTACTGTTAAACTTGAAAAGCATGTCTATTTTTCTATAACTGTGAACCAGTTAAGCATCTTACCCCGGAATTATTTTCATGTATCCTTTTATTATATTATTATGAACTGTTGCTGGTTATTAGAGTTGTACTTTGATCCTTGTCCCAGCTCGTCACTACATTCAACCTAAGGTTAGGTTTGTTTCTTATTGAGTACATGGGGTCGGTTGTACTCATACTACACTTCTGCATCTTGCGTGCAGATGTTGGATGTTGATGTTGTTGCGTGCGGCGGGAGCTTGATCAGAAGATGTACCTGCGTTCCAGTTATGGCTATCACTAGTCCTTGGTAGCATTAGATTCCAATTCTGTTCATTTACATTTCAAACAAATGTTGTGATTATTTCAATTCAGTTTTGTAAAGAAATCTTAATCTTAGACGCCCATGATTTGTACTACCATTCCTTGGGGAATTCTTGTATAAAAGCAGTTGTATTATTATTTCTTCTCTTAATAAATCTCATTAAATTGGATAGTTGGTTATTGGCTTACCTAGCGAGTTGGGTTAGGTGCCATCACGACTAGTTGGATTTTGGGTCGTGACAATATGACTCAGTATTACCGGGTTTTGGAATGTATGATTGTTGTATTCACTTTACGGCTATGTTATGTCATTTTTCAGCTTTTATGTAATAGTTAAGTTGCTTCATTCTATTTGATCTCATCCTTAAAGTGTGATTTCGGGATCGTGACAACATCATATATGGTCTAATTATGGTGGAATACACAACACTGCAATATATAAGGAAAAACAACGAAAAATGAGACGAGATGAGAAGGAAATCAATGTGTCTATCAACGGTTCAAGGATACCATCAAGAGGGCAAGAGAGAAGGAGCCGATGAAATTCTTTCGGAGTTCTTCCCCGCTGACGTCTAAGCTCTCAGGGACTCGGATTAGTCAACAAGAATGAAATCTAAGAAAGCTGGTAGCTCGAGCGAGGAGCGGAGCCTAGCCCTATAGCTATAGGCTATATAATATTATATTTTCTCTGCTTTGAATAGTTAGAATCAAACCCATTGCTCATTCATTAAGAGCTCTTACCGGTAAAGTAGGTCTAAATCGAGAAATTTCATGGCGTTTTAACAGATGTAGACTAAAAAAATACCAGATTTGGATGAAAGGATTTCGTTTTTGCCAATGTTGTTACATTGATCCAAAGGATCATCCTTATCCTTCTTTCTCATAGTTTGTTTTGAGGAAATAAAGTGATATTCACGAAGGCAAAGTCTACTTAAAAGTGATATATAAAGAAGAAAGTGACAAAAAAATTGAGTTCAACTTTCTTTACTCTATTCATTCTTTAATCTGATTTATGAATTTTAATATCTAGAAGAATTACGATAGATGGTCATGATCTTATAGCACACTGTGATATCTAATATGATTCTTCAATCACGCGTATCTTTGATTAGTTCGATGATTATATGTGTTTACGATCAATTTTGACCCTCCTTTTTAAAATTAATTTACTTATACTTAATAATTTATAATAAATGTGTTGAAAATATTTTTTTATCAATAATACCTATTTTTTATATAAATTAATTAATTAATAATGTTAAGTCAATAATTTAGTATTGTATAATTATAAAATATATTTCTTTTACTATTTTTAGACGATTAAAATAACCTTTATATTCATTACATATGTCTTATAATTAATTTCAAAGTTATTCCTTAATTTTAGTAAATTAGCATGCTACTTCAAAATAATCCGAAGTTAGTGTCATAAATTGGAAAGTAAGATATTTTGATAATTAATTAATTATATTAATTAATAGTATTTGATGATTATAATTGTATTATATTTTATTAAAATTAATTAAGTTTATTTAAATTAATTTTAAAAGGTTAAAATCTAAAATGGCTACAATTGCAATTGCATAATCAAAGGTGAAATGGCTACTTCTTAAATTAAAATTAGCCCAATACCCAACCCAAACACCCCCTCTCTTTCCACTTTGTCAATCCGCCCCAACCCATGTGAACCAATCAAAACTCGCCACATAGCTCTCTAATCCCACTTACACAAGAAACACAAACACATCTGAACCATTGATCCATCTGATCAACAACCCAAAATTAATCTCCCTGTTCTCTTTATTTTTAACTCTTACTAGATTTCATCATGACCGTTAGATTAGAAGAATCCAACGACCATCGTTTTCCCCAAAATTAAACCTTTTACCAACTTTAAGTCACCAAAAATCGGAGTCGTTGATCAAACGATCCAATGACTCACGTTCGATCTCCCGTTTTTAACTCAAAAAGCAACCACTAACCCTAATAATTTTCCACCAGACCCACCGCCCCCGTTTCCCCTTTTGCTCGATGTTTCCCAGCCTCCATCAATCACAAGACCTTGCACAAATCTGTGCAAGGTCAACAAATCAACCATGAATTCATCCCTTTTGCCTCCTGAAGCCGCGAATCTAGCCAATCCTTTTCCACTTTTGCCGATAAAATTCAAATGCCAAAATCCAAACCCTAGACTGGTTTTTCCCTCTATCTTCTCTGATTTTACTTGATTTTGCTTGCATCATCAACTCATCATCATCTTCCACTACCATTTTGAATCTGTTGAAACCCTAAGGCATTGAATGCCACTATAAATACGGCCTTAAATGTTCATACCTAACACACACAGAAAATAAATGAAACATAACAAACAACAGTAAGAATTACTTCAAACAAAAAGCTTTAGGTTCTTCACTGATTTCTTGTTTTCTCTTATCTTTTCCGGTGTTCGAAGTTTGAATTTTTGGTTCCTAGACGGCTGAGCAAAATCTCTGTTTAGTTTGCTACTCAAAGGAAGGTTAGTGAGCCTTGACTCTTCCTCTCTTTTAATTATTTAATTAAAATCATGCCTATTCTGTTATCTTTTGCTAATTAATTCTGCTTATGAAGTGTTGTTATTAGTCTATAATTGATTATCTCTGCTCGTAATGTGCTATTATTATTTCATAATAGACCACTATTGCTTTGGTATTATTTTTCTTAATAACTTGAAATTAAACCAATACTAATAGGCTACTTTTGTAATCATGATGAATATGTACTGTTGAATAATCTAAGTGTGATTAACAAAGAACCTTGATGGTTCTTTATAGTTGCGTTGACTTCAGATTTTACTGATAATCTTACTTTGGTTCTCATGTTTGCTCTACTGATCTTTATCTAAGGTTACTTGTTGATTTGTATCATGCATTTAAGGCTATTTGTTTGATAAAACAAAACTAAAATCGATATGAACAACTAAGGTTAAGTCTAGAGTTGTCACTTTAGTTTAAGTATAATAACTTATGATGCTTGAGTTGTCTTCTTTCCTAATGTATTTTCTGTGATTTTATAACTCTTGAAAGACCAGTGTAAAGGTTTTCTGTCAGCTCTCATAATTGTTTGATCACATCTGCACTTCTCATTATATGAAATAATGCTTTCAAGTAACTAGACTAAGTTCTAATGATTCTCTGCAGTTAGTTTTGTTTGTTGCTATCCACCAGCTTAAGCTATGCCCAGAAATTTGACTGAAGTTACATCTGTTATAGTTAAGTATCATATGTTGAGTTGGTAGTTCTAAACTTCATCATGTTAGACTAACACACTTAACTTGTAACTGAACCATGCTCACTTAATGCAAAACTTTCATTGTCTTTAACTTCTATAATGACACTGTTAGTCTGATCCCACACTATTTGATACTCAACCATGTTTGTAATGTTGCAATTTGGAAAGAATGCCACATGTGTGTATTTTAATACCATCTCTTGAGAGTTCTGTACTCATCCTTATTTTAAAATAGACTTCTACTTGTTCTTCATGCTCATGCTTGTGCCTCCATTATCACTGAACCTTGCTATATTTATATAGGTTAAGTGTAATTCACCTATAGGCTTAGGAGAAACTCTGTGATATTTATCTACCCTATTTGAGTATAATAATGTGCATTAATTCCTAATAAACCTAGTGTAAATGTAAGATTCTTTAAGGATCATGCCATCTACCTAAATGAGGATTAATTTATTTTCTTAAACATCTTTGTTAATACTCTTTAGAGATTCTGAAATGGGCTGTTAACTCATATACCTTGTAAGAAGTTAGGACTTGACCTCTGTGTGTGAATCCTTAGTAATTTTGAAAATAGTTTGATAAACTAATGATTCCTGCAAACTTGAATTGATTAGTGGAACCAATAAAGGTTGACATATATATGTCTTCTCTGAATCACATAGTTTAGTATATGAACTTCTAAAATGATTTGCTGGTGGGCTCTTTCTCTGTGTGCATCTGCAATCATTTCCTCTAAGTATCCTTGAACATGTTGAAAGTATTAACAATGTATTATGCACTTGTGTTTGGATTATGATCTCCATGATGTTACCTGTTGTCTCATATTCATAGTATTAACCTACATAGTTTCTGTGAGAAGTGTATATACCTTTGTATTATTATTACTGCTTTGAAATTACAGTGAGTGCCTCATTAGAACTTAAACTTATAGGTAAGAGTAAGTGTGAGTGGTTAAGGGTATTTAGGAGTAAGATTTAGTTCGTGCTTGAGATGCCTTCTCTGACACAAGTACTGCTCGGGGTCCCTGAGACCTTTATGAACTCTGAAGTGCCAGGGATCCAAAGGGTATCTTGGCCATGAATGGAATTTTACCTTAAGACTTTAATCATTGATATTTATTAATCTCTTTAGGTTTAGTGCAAAATAAAATAAAAGCCTCATTGTAAACCTCTTTACTCTTTTGACATTACATTAATGCTATTGCATTCTTAATCGCCAGTACTTGTTAAGTTTCATTTGGGCCTTATGTTTATCTTATTTGTATTTAAATTCTATGTTGGGCCTTGTCACTAATGTCTGTATTTATCTTTTGTATATGTAACTGAACTGGGTCTGCTGAATTCTCAAGGACGCAGGCCCAAGTTCTAGCCCTTGAGTATGAAGTCATGGAAGTTGCTGCCGCTTGTTCATTGTCCGTTGTGTCTAACTTCCTTCAGGCCTAAACCATGAGTCCAATTCTCTTTCTTTTATTATTTTTACATAAATATGATGTTGCTTCTATGTGTATATAACACTGATAATATTTGAGTGAATGCTTTTCTTTTTATCTCTTTGAATTACTTTAGAAACATAGGCAAACTAAAATCATAGGTAAAACTAAAATGAAGTACTATCTTTTATATTAGTTAAATAACCTCGCATGCTTAGTTACTTTACTATATAGTTTTTCACTCATACTAACTATTTTTTCATGAAGCTCCCTGAAGATTAAAATAGATTTGAAAAGTCAAGCTACTCTCTTTCTTTTAAAAGCCAAAATCGGAAAATGATTTCAAGGGCAGTTTTCTACAAACTAAAATGAGAAATAGTCGCGGTCAGAGAACTTCAAACGATTTCTTCTAAAACTTGGATGTTAAATTTGGAGATGAGTTTTCAAGATATACCTCAACCCATTCTTTGAAAAATCCTTACTATGTTAAATGTTATACAAAAAGCCATTCTTTTTTCAAAGGGAAAGCATTTCAAACTTACCCACTATTTACAAATTTTACAAACACAAACATCATGGAAATACTTTCTAAAATTCCTTCATATAGCTATAAGCATTTTAGACTTTATGACATCTATACTCTTTTCAAAATGCATATACTATCCTATCTTTTAAAATGATAAATTTTGAAACACGACATAGGGTAAGCCATATACTTTAAGAACTAACTAAGTAGAATACAGACGTTTAATTCCCTAAACCTAGTCAAAGTTCTATGGAGCTACCTTAGGTAGATTCTAGGGGGTTCTTAACACCTTCCCCTTAGAAGAATAAGAACCCTTACCCAAATCTCACTAGTTAAATGACTAATAGAATAATAATTGAAAAAATTGAATAGGTATCCTAGTATACCTTTAAATATTAGGTGGCGTCTCTCTTTCATCATCAACAGGGAAACCACTAGTTGAATCTTGTTTTGACTCATGCAAAATAGGGTTCAACAACATGGCGACTCTACTGGGGATTACACTTAGGTTTTGACCTTAGCAAACTTAGACTAGACCTTAAATTTAGGAATATTTGTTTATATGCTTACTTTAACTGTGCTTAATTATTTGCAAATATGTGCTTACATGTGCTTACTTGTTCAGAATACATTTATTTGCCTGCTTTAATGTTATTATGTTATCCTACTATCTTTCACCGCTTTATATATACTGTCATAACCCTCTTTCCTACTGAGTCTTGTCCGTACAATATCACATACAATGGCATGCGAGGGTTGTCTTTTACACCCCTCGAACCATCTTTCAAAATTCTTTTAGTCTCAGAGAATGGCTTTGTCAGGTCAACTGACTTTAACGTCTCGTAGTATTCAGTCCAACTCCAAGAATTAGGAAATACTCTACTCTAGAAAACGTAGGTCATACTGCATAAATCTTAGGTGAGTCGGTCCTTGGTATCGTCACACAATTAGTAAAACCACCCTAGTGTCAACGGGTTATGCACCCAACGGTATGATTTTTGTGGAAAGACGAACTAATCCCGATGAGACACTAAAGATACATTTATCAAACCCCTTTATTCACCTCTTCAGAATGAAAATCAACTAGAACATCCCTGAAATCAATATGGTTATGGGAGCGCCGCATAAGCTAAAACAATGGTGGAAAAACATCCACCGAGACCATGGAGACGAGATCAGGACGCACTTAGGAGCACTGACTGTTTTACTAAACATCAAGGCCGATAAGGTTCTTAGCCAGTTCCTGATAGACTTCTGGGATCGAAACAAAGTGGTTTTCAAGTTCGTTGATAGTGAGTTGGTGCCGACGCTGGAAGAAGTCATTAGCTTCACAGAGCTGCCATTTACTAGGAGGAAGCTGATACTGCCAGCTACCATGCCTGGCTACAAGTTTCTCTACGCTTTAGGTTTGGCGGCTAGCCGGAGTCTGAGGAACATAGAAGACAGATGGGTGAGCTTAGATCAATTTTTTCACAGGCTTGAACATTGAGAGAGCTACAAGTGGTACGTGTGGGAGTTCTAATGTGATCAGTTAACCTGGGAAAGTGTCCGACCTTTAACATTCTCTTTAGCATTGCTAGGGTTACAGGTTTTCCCACATAGGAGACAGCGAATTAACATCAACTTACTGCATGTGGTCTAGGCAACATTTCAGGGCAATCTACAAGTCACTTTGGTACCTATGATATTTGAGGAAACTCTTAGAGCACTATCGGCATGTTCCCAAGGGTATGATTTCTTCAAAGGCTACAACCTGTTACTTTAAATGGGCCACTGAACACTTTTTTCAAAGAGAGGCCACTGTCGACTACTTTGTGGGTGTTAACAATATGATCAGGAGTCATAATGAGAGAATGAGGCACTAGGTCTCACCACACGGGAAGGAAGAATGGAGAGAAGTGTTGACTCACCTAAGTGGAGAATGGATAAACTGGAAGCTTTCATGGTTGAGCGACAGGGCGATCCTAAGGACCCTCGGGAAGTATTTTATAGTGCTGATAGGACTCGGAGGCATTCAGCCGTATTCACCTCTACGGGTTCTCAGGCAATTTGGCCTGATCAAGGATGTACCTCTCTGGTCGATAATGGCTTCGTATGAAGATGACTACAATGGGCAAATCCCGATCCCAAGGGTGAGAAAACTTCAAGACGTGTGGGATGACTTAATTATGATACTGATGGGTCAGAATTCATGGTGTACCCCATAATACTATGTCTGGATCAATAAAGAGAATGAGCTGGCCCGGCCAAGCAAAGAAGGAGTGGCTTGGCTAGAAGATGCAACATCAGC